TGACTGTGTGATGCCATGTACATTGTGTTATTGTTCTTGGCTGTGTGATGCCATGTACATTGTGGTATTCTTATTGCCTGTATGATGTCATGTACATTGTGTTATTGTTATGGCCGTGTGATTTCATGTACACTGTGTAACTTTTATGACTGTATGATGTCATGTACATTGTGTTATTGTTATGACTGTATGATGTCATGTACATTGTGTTATTGTTATGGCTGTATGATGTCATGTACATTGTGGTATTGTTATTGGCTGTATGATGTCATGTACATTGTGTCATTGTTATGACTGTAGGATGTCTTTCACATTGACTGACTGACTGAGTTTAGTTTTACGCCGCTTTTAGCAATATTCCAGCAATATCACGGCGGGGGACACCAGAAATGGGCTTAACACATTGTGCCCATGTGGGGAATCGAACCCGGGTCTTCGGCGTGACGAGCCAACGCTTTAACCACTAGGCTACCCCACCGCCCCCATTGACATTGTGTTATTGTTATGAATGTATGATGTCATGTACATCGTGTTATTGTTATGGCTGTATGATGTCATGTACATTGTGTTACTGTTATGGCTGTATGATGTCATATACATTGTGTTATTGTTATGACTTATGATGACATGTACAATGTGTCATTGTTGTGGCTGTATGATGTCATGGACACTATGTTATTGTTATGACTGTATGATTTCATGTACATTGTGTAACTGTTATGACTGTATGATGTCATGTACATTGTGTTATTGTTATGACTTTTTCATGTCATATACATTGTGTTATTGTTATGGCCATATGATGTCACGTACATTGTGTTATTGTTGTTGGCTGTATGATGTCATGTACATTGTGTTATTGTTATGGCTGTATGATGCCACGTACATTGTGTTATTGTTATGATTGTATGATGTCATGATGTATGATGTTATGGCTTCCCGTGAATGTCCGGGTGAGAATATTGATCTTCAGTAACCCATGCTTGTCTTAAGAGGTGTCTAACGGGATCGGGTGGTCAGGCTTGCTGACTTCGTTGACATATGTCATCGGTTCCCAACTGCGCAGATTGATACTCATGCTGTTGATCACTGGATTGTCTGGTCCAGACTCGATTATTTACAGACCGCCGCCATATAGCTGGAATATTGCTGAGTGAGGCGTAAAACTAAACTCGCTCACTCACTGTTATGGCTGAGCGATATCATGTACATATGTCATTGTTATGACTGAATTATATTGATGTCATGTACATTTTGTCATTGTTATGGCTGTATGATATCGTTGTCTTGTCCATGATATCATTATTAAGGCTGAATGATGTCAAGTACATTATAACATTGTTATGGCTGTATGATGTCATATACACTATGTCTCTGTTATGACTGTATGATATCGATGTCATGTACATTATATCATTGTTAAGACTAAATGATGTCCTCCACAGTATGTTATGGTTATGACTGTATTATATAGATGTCATGTACATTGTGATATTGTTATGAATGTATGATGGCATGTACAATGTGTCATTGTTATGACTGTATTATATAGATGTCATGTACATTGTGATATTGTTATGACTAAATGATGTCATGTACATTGTGTCATTGTTATGGTTGTATTATATAGATGTCATGGACATTGTGATATTGTTATGACTGTATGATGGCATGTAAGATAAGATTTTATTATCCACGTAGGAAATTTGGTTTACATTCATAAGAACTCTGGAGCATTTAACGATCATAAAATATTGCACTTACAGTATCAAAACACAAGAGTAATATTACGATTGGCAACAGCAATGTACATTATTAACATAAGTACAAAACATTTAAAAGTTAGCCCCATGCACGTAAGAGCAATGTACGCAATAAAAAAGAGAAAACATGTCAGGAGTTAAAACAATGTACATTGTGCCATTGTTATGGTTGTATGATATCGATGTCATGTACATTGTGTCATTGTTGTGGTTGTATGATATCGATGTGATGTACATCGTGTCATTGTTGTGGCTGTATGATATCGATGTCCTGTACATCGTGTCATTGTTGTGGTTGTATGATATGGTTGTATGATATCGATGTGATGTACATCGTGTCATTGTTGTGGCTGTATGATATCGATGTCCTGTACATTGTGTCATTGTTGTGGCTGTATGATATCGATGTGATGTACATCGTGTCATTGTTGTGGTTGTATGATATCGATGTCATGTACATCGTGTCATTGTTATGGTTGTATGATATCGATGTGATGTACATCGTGTCATTGTTGTGGCTGTATGGTATCGATATCATGTACATTGTGTCATTGTTGTGGCTGTATGATATCGATGTCATGTACATCGTGTCATTGTTATGGTTGTATGATATCGATGTCCAGTACATTGTGTTACTGTTATTGGCTGTGTGATGTCATGTACATTGTGTCATTGTTGTGGCTGTATGATGTTATGTACACTGTGATATTGTTATGACTTATGATGGCATGTACATTGTGTCATTGTTGTGGCTGTATGATGTCATGGACACTATGTTATTCTTATGACTATGTGATAGCATGTACATTGTGTCATTGTTATGACTTATGATGGCATGTACATTGTGTCATTGTTGTGGCTGTATGATGTTATGGACACTATGTTATTGTTATGACTGTATGATAGCATGTACATTGTGTCATTGTTATGACTTATGATGGCATGTACATTGTGTCATTGTTGTGGCTGTATGATGTCATGGACACTATGTTATTGTTATGACTGTATGATAGCATGTACATTGTGCCATTGTTATGGCTGTATGATGTCACGTACATTGTGTCATTGTTATGACTGTATGATGTCATGGACATTGTGTCATTGTTATGAGTGTATGATGTCACGTACATTATGTCATTGTTATAAGTGTATAAAGTGTCACGTACATTATGTCATTGTTATGATTGTATGATGTCACGTACATTGTGTCATTGTTATGAATGTATGATGTCACGTACATTGTGTCACTGGATGCATGATGTTATGAATACCGTGTTATAGTTATGTATGTATGGTGCCATGTTTTGTACGTCATGTTTCGTATGATGTCAACCTATAGTGATAATACCATTGCCTGATCAAGTTTCTGGAGTCATATTACATACATTATATATTCCTTTTCATATCAACGAACCTGAGAGTGTTACACAGTGTCGGGTGTTTCCTCTGCTCTTGTTAAGGCAAGTGCACTGCAAAACATGAAACATCATGTTCTCTTATAAAACATGCAAAATGTGTCTTCATGCACTGCATTATGTCATATCATGTGTTTTGTATCCTTTACTGTTAATATGACAGTATTGTGTTCCAATAAATGCATTTTGATCGAAATATAATGCACTATGCTCTTATGTCAAGTGCAATGTGTTTCACAATATAGAATACATTGTGCCCTAAACTGCACTATAATTCTCCATTAAGTGTTACAAAAGCTTTTCTGCAGTTGGTATTGATTTGAAACAATACCATATACTCGTTATTAGAACCAAAATGATAGAAAATACTTTGGCATTGAAACATACTTAGAGGTTATTGTCTCGAATCCTATGCTATTGTCGAAATATAATGACGAGTAAATACTGGTTGATGGTCCGAGAAGCAGCCTGTGGCTCGTATCGGCATACGTTTGACCTATCAAACATTTCTATTTGTCATCAAACTATAGCTTTATCAGCTTTTCACTGTAGCTTCATACATGAATAACTATTGCATTATGTTTAATGCCACATGCTTGATGGATGCACAATGGAATGCCTATAAACTACGATGGAAATTAATGAGTGTAGACTTAAGCCGAATTTATCAGTGCTATGCACAATGATATAGAATTTTAAACTCTTTCCCATAGTCTATTTTATATGCAATTAAGAAAGGTTGCTTGGCATGCTCCAGTATGTCCAAGTCCGATTACTGAGCGGAGTCTGCACACATTGCTTCTGCTGCAGAGACTTCCACTTGATGCAGATATACGGTGCCAGGTCTCCATTCTGCAGCGGCGAGTGGTGGTTCACTGTCCATATTTCCACAACACTGCACTGGATGAGAGACGCAGTTCTAGTTGGTGTTGTATACATTTAATCATCAGGGAAATACGCCGTACATGGCCGATATCAGAAAAAAATGAGATCGGGATTACCACTTCATGTTTTGTCACACGAAGTTTTCTCGTCATTAGAACTGATACAATCAAACTAACACATTAGCTTTACTGAGCACGACTCGGCTGTGCGAGTTTCTATCGTTCAAACTGACGCATAACAGGCGAACTGCCATCTCCGATAAAGCTTTGCCTCGCTCTCATGGCTTTCATATCAGTCCCCTCATAAAGCCGCGAGAGTAGGTACATGGAAATCAAATCTGTACCTGGAACCAGTAGCCCTCTCCATTCACGGACACATTTGTATATTGAAAAAGGCCATGGAGACATAAGCGATCTGAATTGTAACAAAGCTAAACCAAGAGGCGAGAGATTGGGTAACTGGAATAAAGCTAACTATTGGCGATGGTAGAGGTAGAGTCGGGAGGCCGGCCGGCCGGGCGGGGAGGGGAGGTGGTGGCGGTGGGGAGTAAGTGATCAATACGCGTATCGCCACACTGCCAGGTGTAGCACCTTCTCGTTGCTGGCAATGAACTGCTTTAAACCGATCCCATGGGACTGCCTCAAAGAAATTAATAACGTAGAGACTAAATTTGTTTTATTTTCAACGAGGAAACACATAAAACGCATCTTAGAGCAAAATCACATAATCGATAATCAGAGTAACTGGAGTAGGTTGTAGTCTAGTCATAGTTGTCGAAAGTAAAATTGTATGTTAATGTGAAACAATATGTTTCGGCTCAGTCGTTATGAATCATTCGCAGCCCCAACTGGTCAGCACACAAACCCGCCAGATGTTAAAGTGCACACACCAGGGATTACTTTAAAAGGTAGCGGTATGAAGGCATTGCTGTGCTTACCTTGACTGAGTAGCACGTGGTGGCAGTGGAGCTCCTGTTTGAGACAACCGTCATGTCCCTGGTGCTGACGACAACATGCCATCAGACGGACTCTCCAACTCTCACCCTGTTGGCGTCTTGTCTTTCTAGGCTGCTCACACCACTGCTTTTAGCTCATGTATCCCAGGTACAAAGATTCCAAGTTGTCAGCGAAGTTTTCCAGTCATAAGTATCGGTTGGCATGCAGGCTGGCAGACAGGCAGCGGGCGAGTCACCACGGATCTACCATGTACTGGCCTGTACACACTCCTTGCCTCCTGCCACTGCGAGCATCGGAAGCCACTTGTGCGCAGTCTCAAACTGCTGCTTGTCCTGATAAGAACTTCATTAATTTTTTAAAACAGATAGAAACCTTCCACGGCAGTATAATAGCGATGAAATGACCTGTGAGGAGTAGCGATGGAGTCGCTCGTTCCTTCTACACACTCAGCACAGGCACCTGTCCCGCGCCGACTAGCTCACACCTCTATTTCCGACCGCCATGCAAGCGGAGGGTTACAGCCTTACGGTGCTAGATCGTTGAATTCGGCTGATCTGAGGGCTTGTTTGCTAATTAATCACGTAATTTGGGAATATCTGATACACTGCAGGCGGTGGTAGTGGCGTTAATCGACCTGCTGTAGACGTCCGTCCACTGTGCACTCCCTCTCCGTGTGCCTAGTCTCATGCAGAACTATATTCCTGGCTCTGGAGCCCACGTGTAGGGGCAGGTAGCGGTAGGCCTCAGTGCAGAGCTTCCAGACCACACGGTAAATAGACGCACATGCATACATTTACCACCCCACTTCAGCGTATATTGTAAAAACATTTTTGTTTCCCGGAACAATATTTTGCCCGGTTCTGAAATGGGAACACTGGACACTTGCCTGATTGCCAGGCAAGGCGTACCTTCCATCCTACCCTAACCTCTCAATGTAAGTACCTATAGATAAGGCTAAGTGGGGATGAATGAGAGTGTATATACATACAAACATCAATGAATCTAGTGATGTAGATACACGGACATATAATCTGAACGCTGTACACATATTCGACAGTTAATTAAGATGTTGATTTTGATGACAGTTCCTGACGGACAGAATGACAGAAACAGACGAATCATTTCCTTCAGAAACATGACATTAATTACACTTTTTTCACTATTCCCGCAGATATTAAATGTTAATTTACAGATGGGTCAGTTTTCAGCCAAGGAAATCTACAATGACATTATCATCAGGTTTATTAGTCTTTCTGAGACGCTTGTAATGTTACAGTATACTGTGGAAGCATAGCTTCATCACGAAATGTTTAGGTTTTTTTCGTTCTATATGACAGGGATGCAAAGAGGAACATTCCTAAGGCACTGGCGTTTTTAATATACAAACGAGGGCGGGTGAAGACTCATTGTCACCAATGTTGCTTTCATGTTGGGAATGCCCAAGGACTGAGTTTCCTGATTTCCTCGTATCATGTCTCAACCTCGAGTTAGCTGAATCACCTAATCTTCAAGGGAGAAGGAATGAATGGGGTCATTCCTGACTGAGTCCATGAGATGATGTTTGATTCACACTGCTAACCGTATGACACGGAGTCTGGAGCAGAGAAACCAACAGTGTTGGCATAGAACGTAATGGACAACGTCATTCATGCTCAGATAGGTCACAGGTGACAGTCGATGTTTTCGGTGAGTATGGCACAAAATATCACGCACCTGAACGCTATAGGAAGATAATTTACACTTTTATCAGTACACGTTGAGATCTGAATCTACAGACTGTATATTCCAGGCAGTCCCAAGTCTTGTCCACGCACTAACAATACATGGTCTGCTGAAAGGGTTCAGAGACATACGCACAAACACACACACACACACGCACACACACACACTAACACACAGACACACACACACATAGGGTGGGATGTACTGGACATATAGTTTATACAACTGTATACATGTAGCTGTACTAGCAATGTCTTTTATTCATATCTGTAAATGTAGCTGTACTAGCAATGTCTTCTATTCATATCTGTACATGTAGCTGTACTAGCAATGTCTTCTATTCATATCTGTACATGTAGCTGTACTAGCAATGTCTTCTATTCATATCTGTACATGTAGCTGTACTAGCAATGTCTTCTATTCATATCTGTACATGTGGCTGTACTAGCAATGTCTTCTATTCATATCTGTACTAGCAATGTCTTCTATTCATATCTGTTCATGCTGTACTAGCAATGTCTTCTATTCATATCTGTACATGTGGCTGTACTAGCAATGTCTTCTATTCATATCTGTACATGTAGCTGTACTAGCAATGTCTTCTATTCATATCTGTACTAGCTAGCAATGTCTCTATTCATATCTCATGTAGCTGTACTAGCAATGTCTTCTATTCATATCTGTACATGTATCTGTACTAGCAATGTCTTCTATTCATATCTTGTACATGTGGCTGTACTAGCAATGTCTTCTATTCATATCTGTACATGTAGCTGTACTAGCAATGTCTTCTATTCATATCTGTACATGTGGCTGTACTAGCAATGTCTTCTATTCATATCTGTACATGTGGCTGTACTAGCAATGTCTTCTATTCATATCTGTACATGTAGCTGTACTAGCAATGTCTTCTATTCATATCTGTACATGTAGCTGTACTAGCAATGTCTTCTATTCATATCTGTACATGTGGCTGTACTAGCAATGTCTTCTATTCATATCTGTACATGTAGCTGTACTAGCAATGTCTTCTATTCATATCTGTACATGTAGCTGTACTAGCAATGAGTTATATATTCATATCTGTACATTAGGATGTACTAACAATGTGTTATAAAAATATCCTACTCGGGTTATCAAAAATCAAAACAATGGAATTGGGTTCCATTCAAATTAAATTTCAGGTATATCGATGATCGTTCAGTAAATATCAAATATTCAATTACGGTCCTAATATTTATTCCTCTGACTGGAAACTAAATTAGACAAGTGATATGGCCTCAGTTGTTTCATATTTTAAGATTCAGAGTAACTGAAACGTTGTTTCACAAGACTGCATGGCATGAAAGAAGACTCCAGTTTTCCAATATTCACATTCCTGCATGTTGAGCAATATTCCAACAGTTTGGGTAAAATGTTTGAACAAGGTTACAACATTTGTTTCCTCAGCGTAACTTCCAAAACGTTTTATTCTAGACGTAGAGGACATTCTGATCTCGATTTTCCTTGTTTTCTCAGATGAACAACTGCACACGTATGTGTATGTGACGGGTGCCACCAGGATACGCTAACTATTTTAACGCCTAGTTTTATCACTATCGCGCCATGACTCACGGTGATGGCGGAGTCGTACCTTAGGCTTGCCTTATGAATATGAAAATGTATCCTGGGATAAAGGTGCCGCCAAGACGTCGGCAGTAAACTGAAAATACTGTGAATTTCTGTAATGTTGTTATATGATAATCTTGTTCATAATGAAATTTTCTGTAGTGGGTGTCGTTGCTCCACACAAAGATTAGTTACACATGTGTACAGCTGAACACACAGTCCGGATAGGCTGAGATGCCTAACCAAATTGCTATCTTCATCATACAGTCTCCTGCCCTATGGCTGTGGGACGCTGTACATGTACTGCGCTGTAACTCTTAGCTTGAAACATTACTATTTCATTAGACGACGGACCGAGTAGCTGTAAGTAGATCATATGGGTGTATTTGTCAATTAAGCAAACACTGGACTTCTACATAGCCCGTGGTGTCTTCTAAATGCGGTTAAACTTCACAGCTGAAATTGAACAACAGTAAAATCTCAAGGAGGTGATGCAGGGGAAAAGTCAGCCTATATTGGTAAAATTGGTGATACAGGTTGTATGTGGATGTTGTGGATGTTTCACTGGTGCTTCCTTCCCGCTTGGGCACCGCTTTGAGCAGCACGGAAGCAAAATCCATATAATCTAGTGTCTATGAACTTCAAACAGCTCAATGTCACTCAGCGATCTTGGGTTTGATATTTCAAAGGTGACGTTATGAAAATAAAATTACAAGTTTAATGCACTGACTTCCGCGGAATAACACCGAAAAATCCCAGTGTAACATTTGGAGTTCATTGTCCGGATCATGCAACGATGTTGCGATGATGATACAGATGTTGACGTTGTGACGACACGCTACGATACTAATATATTATTTAGATGTTATTCTGATACCGAATGTGGAGTTTGTAGCCACGTCATGTATGTATCCCCCAAAAGGTAATATATAATCCTTCAATATGGCATCACGACATGATCACGAAGAATCATTGTACCCACGACGGTGCATAAATAATAATGATAATAATAATTACCATTTATAAAGCACTTGTATCTCCACACTTATGCATGCTCAAAGCGCCAATACATTATTACTCCGGTTAACCCAAGCTACCTGTGAGGTGCTAGCAGATTAACAGTCATATGACTTATCCTACCGGGTACCCGTTCATTGCTTGGTGAACAGATGCAGTTTTGAACAAACTCACTATCCGAAGGTGTGACCACATGTGTCGCGTGTGCTTCGTTGTGGGGCCTGACTGAAGACCTAGAAACTCTCAGGAGTCAAGCTGCCAAACACGGCCATCCATGCAAGGACTCTCCGTGACCATCCATCCAAGGACTATCCGTGACCATCCATGCAAGGACTCTCCGTGACCTACGTTGCTTAACTTCACCTAATTTGTGACCTGAGCTCTGTGCACATGACCACACATCACCCCCAGGACCGCACACCACATCTGTAGCATTGTAGCATTGTCTCCCCGTTGTCATGTTATTATATCTCTTACATTATGTCACTATGTGTCTAATATATAAAATGATTTACTAAAGACTGTAAAATACATCCAAACTGTATTAATATGTCCTCAACACTATATCATTTATGACCTCCGGAAACAGTTCTTACCGGCTAAATACTGTAAACCCGACTCTTCAAGTTCAACAAACTGATGTCAAAATGAGCATGTAACTAGAAATGGTGCTGCGTTCATATACTATGGAAAGCGCCCGAGCATGGCATTTGCGATATATTAACTATAAAACAACTGTTTGAAAATAATGCTACATGTATATCTATGCAATATGATTGCTTCAAATATGGTTTGATGATGCATCCTTGTTTGGTATTGTATGATTTATTTATCTATTTCATATGGACCAATATTGTACCATGGCCGATGGCCTACATTTGATGCAAATAAGAGATATGATATATTATTCAAACTCAAAAGATATATTCTTGAATCCATGTAACTTTATTTTATCCTTAAAACTACATCATTATACCCAAACTGTATAATTTTATCCCTAAATCTGTCTCATTTTATACCTAAATCTGTATCTTTTTATACCTAAATCTGAATCTTTTCGTACCTAAATCTGTATCAATTTATCACTAAAACTGCATCTTTTTAATCCCAGCACGGTATTACTGAACCTAAACACTGTAGAACTGTAAATCTGACACCCCTTTAATGCATCCCCAGTATTGTATTGCATCATTATATTACCGACCGACCCATGCTGTAACCTGCATCCTAGAACCTGCATCGTTCAATCCCAGACACTGTATGAGTGTATCCCTGGCGCCGTATCATTGTATGACTATAGCTGCCTCCCTGACAATGCAGCCATGTCCCAGTACCGCCGTACAACAGCTCAGCATT